TCTACGGCCTCTGTATCCGCTGCCGTACTTTGGACTCCAGTATTATAGTGTGTCCACATTTTTATGTTCCCCACGGTTGTGTTGCAGAATTAAATTTCTCTTCCAGTAACGCGGGGTCATTGCCCTGGATTAGATCCTCGGCTTATCCAGCAGCGCAGCGTCGTGGACTCCCTCCTCCCTTTCGCGAGGTTGTCGCAGTCTTCTCTTAGAACTTTGAATGCCTCTTACAGTAGAGCAGCTTCGTCGAAGTCCTCTGTGGCCTCTATATCCGTTCCCATCTGTTGGACTATGAGATTGAAGAATCTCTCTTTTTGCGATGTTGTCGCAGTCTTCACTTGTAACGTTTAGTTGTTCTCCCTGTACAGCCTTTGGAGACGCTGGGTTCGCGTTATTTCTCTTGCATTTTCGTAGGCGTCCCTATTCTTCCTCATGACCTCACTATTCGCTGCTGTGGTTTGCGCTCTCGGTATGAAAGGGTTTCACTCTTCTTTCATGTTTTGGCACTGGTGTCTTGTGGCGTTTAATTCATGTATGTGTATATCTCCATTGTTAATCTTCGATCTAAGATTTTTTACTTCAAGTTTGAGAGCATCCCTCTCCATCTGTAGGTTCGCAACACTGCGTTCTGCTTTTTGAGCCTTCAGTACGAAAGCGTTTCTCTCTTTTCTCATATTGTCCCACTGCTGGTCTGCGACGCTTAATTGCTTTTCCAGTAGCGAACTCTTTTTGCACCGGACTTGGAGATCTTCTATTTTCAATTTCAGGGCGTCTATGACTTTGGTCTGGGCGACCCTAGTCGCTGCTGCCCGTCTGGCTTCTAATTTGTAGAAGTCTCTGTCTCTTTCCATGTCGTTGCAAAGCCGTCTTACAGCGCTCAGTTCGTCTTGCTGTAACTGTCTTTCGTTAATTTTTGATCGAAGATCTTCGACTTCGACTTTGAGAGCATTCATTTTCATCTGTAGGGTACCATTAGTCTTCGTTACTTGCTGGGCCTTTAAGATGAAAGCGTTTCTCTCTTTGGTTACAGCATCGCACTGGCGTCTTGCAGCGGTTAATTGCTCTTCCAAAAGAGCACTGCTCTCGTTCTTTTCACGGAGCTCTTCTGTTTGAAGTTTCACGCCCTCTATTATCTTCTTCGTGGATTTAGAGTCCTTTTCTGAGCGTCGGTATCTCTGCTGGAAAGAGTCTCTCTCTTTCGCGATGAAGGCAAGCTGCACTTTTACATCCTTTAATTCTTCTTCGAAAAGAGCAGCTTTCTCACCCTGGGCTCGGAGCTTCCTTGTTTCGAGTTTTAGGGCGTTTCTCTCCCTCTTTAACACATTTCCATTTGCTTCCATACTTTGGGCTTTCGATACCAAAGCGTCTCTTTCTTCATTGATGTTACGGCATATTTGATTTAAAAAGTGCAACTGCTCTTTCATTTCACCAATGTGTTCACATTGGGCCCTGAGCTCCTCTGTTTCACGCCTCAGAGCGTCCCTCTCCTTCTCCAAATTCCGTGAAATCTTGGCATTGAGTTCTGCTTGTACTATGAGGGCGTCCCTCTCTTCTGTGACTTTATCGGCATGAGATTTCAGTGCCCAAGCATCCCTACACTGGTCTCGGAGTTCATCTATTTCTCGTTGTTGTGCGTCCCTCTCACGCTTTAGGGCCTCTATTTCGCCTGTCATGCATCTTCCTGTGCAAAGAAGCGGCGATCCTCTGTCTTCAGCCATTCCAGATTTTATGGTATTGTTCACGTCAGTCCCACCTTCATCTTCTTGTCCTCTTCCTCTGAAGAGGAAGCGCCTGAGTACCTTGAATCCAATTCCATATTTTGAAGCACAGCTCCTGTGCTGTGCTGTGAATATTCGCCCCGTAAATAATTTCACAACATACATCAGCGGCCTACGAAGACCGGTATTATCTCATCTTCAGAGATTATGAATTAACCTACAAAATATACAGTAGTGCCATAGGGGCAGACACTTTGCTTGATATTGTCACCTGTTGGCTGTGTGACGCGACAAACAACTTCAAGCCGGTCTCGGATCTAGCGAATTTATTGCACTTTTATCCACACTTATACATTTCACAATTTCACTGTCCAAATTACTTCTTCTGCCATAGTCACTTCCAGACTACAATGTTCTTCGGCGGCTGCTACATTTCAAATCCGTGTTTCATCTGTACTCGACGACTGCTAGAATTCAACTAAACTGTCTGGTGCATTGAACCTCCTTACATACGCCTCTCGCGGACAACACAGAAAACAGCCCATATTGTTGGACGTGTTTACCAACCGATTGCCTAGAAACGGTCCCTACATTGACTCCACTGTTGCGTGACGTCACAGCCTAGAGGGGAGGTTTGTTTACCGAGCGTAGCGTAGTGATGGGATGAGTGGGGTTATGTGACGTCATTCGCGGAAATGCGGAGTTCACGTGACCCCCATTTCCTGTTGCGCTGTCCAAGCGTTCACAGAGTTGTCGCCTAGCAACGCGCCGATATAATCCGAAACTCCCCCGTTGCGCGCGTGCCCCGAGACCTCTGTGGCTCAACAGTTCTTGCATGGCGCAAATACGCCACATTATGAATATATAAAATTAATAAAACAGGATTCGTCCCTTGTGAATGTGTAATGGAGCACAACTCCTCTTTGTGAGTTCCCTGTCTGTGGACCTACCAGGATAGGTATCCTGAGAAGTTACTTAGCTGTTCTCTCTATAATGGGTAAAGAAGACAACGAAACGTGTACAAGCGGGTACCTCCATCTTGCCTTACGCTGCTCAAATGTAGACTTATTTTGTTTTAAACATAATGAAGAGAAATTTTATTTTTTAATTTTATCCTTAAGTGATATAACGGCATCGGAATTAGTATACTGACATGTCAAACCGTTGTTGGGCAAAGGGATATGGAACGAGGTTACGCAACAGTAAGGAAAACGGTGTTTGTCCGTGTCGTGCCGAGCCGAAGTGCGTTGGTTGCTACGCAGCGTTGCAGTACACATATCTCGGCAGCGTTGCCCAGCAACGCCTCTATAAACACAGCGATTATGTAACAGTGAAGTGAGGTGCGTCTTCCGATGTCCGACTGAGGTGAATGTGTAATGGAGCACAACTCCTCTTTGTGAGTTCCCTGTCTGTGGACCTATCAGGATAGGTATCCTGAGAAGTTACTTAGCTGTTCTCTCCATAATGGGTATATAAGACAACGAAACTTCATCTTGCCATACGCTGCTCAAATGTAGACTTATTTTGTTTTAAACATAATGAAGAGAAATTTTATTTTTTAATTTTATCCTTAAGTGATATAATAGCTTCGGAATTAGTACGAGGGGCGTTCAAGTTCTAAGGTCTCCGATTTTTTCTCA